CGTGATCCCTCCAGTAATTCCAAGATATCTCAATAAGGGTGGAAGCTAGACCACCAATTTTTTTTGTTAGAAAGAAGGCATTAAAATGAAGAGATCGGTGGAGGCTGACTTTTGGCTTTAGAAGATTTTATAGCGTTTGATAATAGAATTAGGAAAAATTCACATTATTGCTACTGAAAAATGGTCAGTATAAAAACCAAACAAAAGCGCAGTTCAAAGATCAGCCTCCATCGATCTCTTTATTTTAATGTCTTCTTTCTAATATAAAAAATAATTAGTGGCTTAGCTTGTACCCTTATTGAGATATCTTGGAATTACTGGAGGAATCACGATTACTGAGTGGGTATCCAAAAACCTTTTTACAGTGTAGATGGCAGAGAGTTACAAATCTGACAAGAATAAGAACAAAACTTAAGAATGTTTATCTATGTGTTGTTGAGAGTGATCCAGATTTTTCTTTAGGCTTAATCGGAGTTTCTAGATAAACTTTTTTCTGATTTGTCAGTGTCAGCAGGTGCTGCTCACTCTATATTTTCTGACATGACAGAAATAAGACAGCTTCTCAAATCAAATGTGCTTTCATGCTCTCAAATTGGACAGTCAAAGACGTAGGTAGGAGTATAATACTAAAATTTTTTACGAAATCGTCACATTTTTATCATGAAAATGCTACACTTTCAGCGTCAATTTTTAGGATAGTGCAATAAAAAATCTCGTTTGAGGAGACTAAAATGAGTTAGACGCAAAAGTTAAGCATAAAAATCTACAATCATCTCATTTTTTACATTAACTGTACAATCTTGCGCTTAACTTTTGCGTCTGACTCACACCCGACTCTTGTCACATCTGTCCCCATCATGTTGAGATAATGTTTTATGACAGCGCTGTTAACAACAAGACTCAAAATTACTATCTAGTCACATAATCCAGTTGTGCGAAGCACGATTCAATGATGACAATATTTTGGTTCAGATATAGTTTGAAACTAGTATTTTCATTATTCTGATTTTCGTTTCCTTTCATGTTCGTGATGGTCTGAGTGAATGTAATTTACATCAATCTACACTATTAGTTTTTATTTAAAGAATTTTCCGATATAGTTTGTCTGCTGAGATAATTAAACTCATACATACGACTTTCTCTCTTTTGGTGGTATGAACGTGGAATACTAACTATATCTATTGAAGAAAGACATCGTTTCTCTTATTTAAAGAAAAAAAATGAAGAACAAATGTTTTTTACAGCATTCAAAACTTAGCCTATAATTCAAGTATCGTACAATTAGTTTGATAAAAGTTTATGGCATCTTGGAAGTAACTTGTATTTATAAAACATATTTAATCATATATTTTTACTGTACTTATGTCAAATAGTGTCATCGGCTTTTTTACTAAGGTAAAGGTAATCTGTTGTAATTTGAGATAGAAAGCGAAAGACAAATCCATATGATAATTCATCTTTCTCCCTTTCAGGTTTGATGATAGAAAAAAACCTGAAGGCTATCGATAGTTTTCATTTGTGTCTTAGGAAAGCTGTCAAAATTAATTGAACGCGTAGAACGTCGATGTAGACTAATTTTCGTTTTCTGTGAACAAAAAATCTAATTTGTTTTATATTTTGATTCGTTTATCGCAGCGTTTTCCAATTTATTTTAGCCATGGAACCCTTTCATAAAATTTAAAACTTTGCGGAACCCCAGTAGTATTTTCACATAATATTTGACTAAAATTATTTAAGACTACGTAACTTTTTTTATGTGGTGAAATTAATTTTTATCTTCTTATTTTTTTCTCGCAGAACCCTTGGTTTCACTTCACGGAACCCCATTTGAGAAACGCTGGTTTATCGTATTACACGTACATACATGCAGATATCTATCGATATTCATTTAGAAAAAGAGTGAACTATCATTTTCGAAACGAATGTATTTAATTTCTGAGAACTATGTCGAGCTCTGTGATTCACATCCATCTACATCCTGAGTTGAGGATTCTTTAACATCAAGATTTGTCTTTTCTCAGTTGTACATGAATGATGGATAATAGCAGTGAATTTTGTAGATTAACGGATACTAAAGGTTCGATATTACATTAATTAGTGGAGCATGGGCAATTTTACATTGTTTTACTCTACATTCCATTTTACAAAAGATTAAATACATCCGTTTCGAAAATGATAGTTCACTCTTTTTCTAAATGAATATCGATAGATATCTGCATGTATGTACGTGTAATACGATCAAACAAATTAGATTTTTTTGTTGACAGAAAACGAAAATTAGTTCTATTTTGTGTGTACATCAAATTTTCTATTCCTGCAAAATACAGAGAACAAAGAAAGAAAAAAAAGAAAATAATTTTCATCTATATCTATCTATAGTAACTATCGAATATAGACTAGCTTACGTCTACGTTCTACACGTTCAATTATTTTTGACGACTTACCTTATCAACAGCTGTTTTATTAAAATATTGACCATTTGTTTCGAAAAAAAAATCAAATGACTTTTTATCAAATAGATTTTGGATGAGTCAGTAAATATTATTTCATCATGGATGCTTCATTGTTTGTTCAAATGAATTTTTACTCTTTTTAGAAGAATATGAGCTTGATTTTTAGATCTAAATGCGATTTTTATATGATAAGATACCAAGTGGAAATATTTTATCGATTTCTCGTAATCTAAGATATGATAAACGATTGTGGGACTCAGAGTAGTAGCCACCTGTTTGTCTGGAGCACACATATAGAACAGAAAGATAAAAGAAAAAATCAAAAAGTAGAAAAGAATAGAAAAAGAAATGGTTACATGAGGGAGATACACGAGGTTTTATTTCAAATATGTTACAGGCCGGGAAAATATGCATATACATTTGCATAATTTTTGTTTTTTATTCTTTTTATATTAGAAAATCAGAATGAAATGCTATTGGAATTGTTAAATATAGAAAAATCCTTCAAAGAAAATTTCGGTATTGTAACAGAAACAACTATTTATGGCATCCTCTTATAAAAAGTATGTGTCATATCTATATATTGTAAAAAAATCTATTATGCTTTATGATCTAATACTATTTGGATTTGGATTATTCCTATAGAAACCGTTAAGTGAATGTGCCGAAAATTTGTATGCTTTTCTAAAAAATTTTGAACATATCATTTATGTACTTATGAGTATTCTATTACTCTTGGAAATTTAAACCAATAAATACTTTTGAACAAAATATATAAAGAGACGAAGTTCAATTAAAAGATTACATTTTGTTCCTTGAACTTTTTACTAAAAAATATAGATATTTGTTTTAAGGGTCCTGGATATGAATCAGTAGAGTGATAGTATTTTCGCTACTTCCAAGTGATTAATCCAATTGGAAAAAGGCGGCGTTTTTCTTTCTTAGCATCGGTGAGCATCTCTCAGCACCGGATGCATTGTATCTCAAGCTTCGGAAAGTATTTCAAGGGCTTCGGCAAGCTCCTGGAGCCGCCTTTTCTCCCTTGGATTAATCACAGATCTAAGTTTTCAGTTCATATGTTTGGCTAATAATATCGAGAGAAAATTCTCAAATATTCAGAACTGAACGTTTTTGTAATCATTTCTTATAATTTATTTTTCTCTTGTCTTTCATATAATATGTTCTCATTGCTGTCGATAATTATTATCGGTGATCTAAAATAACTTCAACATACAGTTCAAAATTATAGAATTATTCCACTTTTTTCTTTTCCTAGTGAGTTTAACTAACTTTTAACGGCATGAGTAGAAAGAACATGAAAAACTGCGTATAATCGATATATTTTGATTGGCATTGGTATAGTCCTTCAGTGAGTTTTGGGAATTAGTTTTCTGTAGCACTTGGTGGAGATAAGTGCTCAAAAAAAAAATCAGTGAGAGAGACAAACTAAAAAAACTTCTCCTTCATAGTATTAAGGAGGAAAGTTAGATCTACAAAAGGAGACGTTTCACAGTTCTCTAGCATGTAGAATAAACAAGTTAGTCATGGGAATAATATAGAGGTCACTTTGTTCTACAGTAAAAACACTTAAATATGGCATAATGTTCCTTTTTGATTATGTGACCGTGGCTAACTTGTTTATTCTACATGCTAGAGAACTGCGAAACGTCTCATTTTGTAGATCTAACTTTCCTCTCTAATACTCTGAAGGAGAAGTTTTTTAGTTTGTCTCTCTCACTGATTTTTGAGCACTTTAAAGCTTATCTCCAAGTAGTGCTACAGAAAACCGATTCCCAAAACTCACTGAAGGACAATGCCAATCAAAATATATCGATTATACGCAGTTTTTCATGTTCCTACTACCAGATGTCTGCGGGATGGTCCAGGTCTCACGCGGCTTTTATCGAGACCGGGACCAGGTTTTTTAGAAAATAGCCTTGTATAGAATATAAAAATTTCTTAGTTTCGATGCTTGTTTGTATGTGGGCACTAGTTCTGCAAGAAAAAACACACAAAATTCTAAAAGTTCTCAATTAATACCATCCACGCATGTTGTTCCGCGCCTCGCATTACAACGCGCTGACTTTCAAACTACTTGCGTTAAAAAATATTTACGGGACCACGGGACAGGGACCAAAAATGAGTTCTTTCCAAGGGACCGGAATCGGGACCAAAATTGTTTTCTTTATGAGACCGAAACCAAAAATGTTTGGTCCCGCAGACCTCTACTTTCTACTCATGCCGTCAAAAGTTGCACTAGGAAAAGAAGAAAATAGAGTGATTCTATAATTTTGAGCAGGAAAAAAACTGAACCTGTTGTTAAAATTGTTTTTTCTCTCACAACCAGCAAGTTAGTAAACTTTCGATTATATATTCTAGAAGAGCACACTCAATTCTATGCATTTTATCTTGAAATATATTCAAATAATAGGTTTTCTGCACTGGGCACATTTTTAAAGTTTCATGTAGCAGGTGATTCTATAATTTTGAACAGTACTCTTTATATTTCGTATATTTTTTTGATTGAATAATATTGGTTTCGAAAATATGTCCGGTCGTACACCATCATTCATTCTGGTCGGATTAATCATTATTCTGTTTTTACTTGGAATGTATTATATGTCGTGTTCATCGAAAAATAATGAACTTCGAATTAATTTAGAAGAATTTGAAGAACGTCTTCGAACGGTGAGTTTTTTTCCTTCTATATAATGATATTAATATGATGATAAACATTTTAGTTAACAATGAAAAATGGAGATTATGAACGTAAAATTGAAAATATAAACATTCGTAAACGTGAAATAGAAGAAGAAAAAGCGGCGCTTCAACGTCAATTGGAAAAGAAAGATATTGAAACTAACGATTTAAATACGCGTTTGAATCAAAAAACAGCCGAATTACATAGTTTAACATCCGAGAAACAAATATTAGATAATAAATTGGTATATTTCTCTTATAAGAATGATATTAGTATTAGGGTATCAATTTTTCTTTTGACATTTTAGAGAGACTATAAAACTTTAAATGAAAGTTTATCATCGAAGGAGACTTTCATTAAACAACTGACAGATCAATTAGACGAATATAAACGTACTTAACTCAAACGAGCATCTGTCTTTTTAATAGTTTCATGTTGTATTTTATTTTATTTCAAGGTACAAAGGATAGTTTGGATGGTGAATTAGCAAAATTACGCCATGAAGTAGAGGAATATAAAAAACAAAAGTAAGTTATGTTTTTTTTGTGTTGTTTGAAAAATTAAATCTATTTTAAATTATGTTGTATTTTTAGAGGTACAAATAACGAACAACAACAGCCAGTTGGACAAGTTCAAGCTGACAATCAACAAACACTGCAACGAAATTCAACAATTCGAGGACAACCACCTCTAGTTTCACATCAGCAACATTTATCAAATGATACTGCAAAAGAAAATAATAATTCGATTCTAGCGGGTCCATTGGCTGAAAAACTTAGAAATTTAACAAAACGTATCTTACCCTCAGCGGATAACAGCGATAGAAACAATAGAACTGATCAGCAAGTGAATAATTCTAATAATAATAATAATCCTCAAAATGTTCTGCCACCTCCTTTGGCAAATCCAGCTCAACAAGCCGAACGAGTAGGTCATATTGAATCACAACAATTACCTCCCCATCTGTCCAGTCAAAATATATCACAACAACAACAAGAAACTCAAAATCAAATTTCTAACCGTAAAGATAGTAAGTTCTTTGAAATTTAACTGTCAAGTTATATATAAAAATACTCTTCTAGAAAATGTTTCTTGAAGTGTTATATCAGCTTTGATTGTTGTATTTTCTATACTAAACAAAATTCATATAGATCGTTTGATTATGAATAAAAATTTAGTTTTTTTATCATCATCAAAAGGATGTATAATTATTTCGTTCGAATAGTCTTTTCTATAGAGTCAAAAAACATTTCCAATTAACAATGTAAAATTTAATGAAATCCATGCAATCATATCTTATACTTAATATAATAAACAGTGCACTAATTTAATGTCATATCGTTATTTCAAATATTTTAGAAGAGTTTTTTTATCGAAATCAAAATCAAGAAATATAATTGAAAATTTCTTCCAACTTCCATAATCAATTTGACTACTCTATATCTAGAGTAAAATTATTTAGATAGATTTATGAGATGTTTTTAGTTAAAAATTATTATTTATTCGTAAAAGTACCGTACTAATTGACATGATAATTTTGTTTAAACGACAATGATATATTGAAAATGCACCGTTATTAGCATATCAAATTTTCTATGTTCCATTTTATTTCATACATTTATCTTATTAGTTTTCTCTCTTTTTCACTATAGATATTCTCATCCATAAATAAGAGGTAATTTATTAAAATCCTTGTTCCATGACCATGATGATAGGTTCTAGTGGTGATTAGGTCCATTACTCTATTCACGCAATAATTCTAGCTTTAGTAGATGGTATTAGAAGATGCATTTATGTTCAATCATTTAGTTATGTTATTTCATTGCATGATGAGTCTAATGCTCAGTCTAATTAATATTTCTCAGTAAATATTAGTTTTAATTAATTAATTTGCATTTTTTTTCTCTTTAGATCGATTACGGGATTCCTTTCAAAAACCTCATCCATTTGATTTTCCTATTGTAAGTATTTTATTTTCATGATAACAAATGTTTAATCGTCATTTCTATGAGTCAGTAATTATGGTTAGTTATAAAAAATATCTGTTTGTACCTTTCGTAGATAATTTGATTGTTTAATTTGACTGCAATTAGTACATACAGCTTCGGTGAGCGTTAAGGACTAATTTCGATCATGTTTCTTTTTGTAAACAATCTAATTTTCAAAAAACAAACAAATACGATTTTGTAGAAGACACTTTAGATTATCTTTTTACTACAAAGGAAAAGTTTTAAAAGATAATTATCTCGTGGAAATAATTTTTGTAAGGAAGTGATACACGTTTTCTATTTTCGAATTGATAAAAACTGTGTAATTTCAACACATCTTTATCCTTCAACACCGTATAATCTCGTTATAGACCAAAATAAAGGTTAACAGGTTTTCAAACATCGCTTAAAAATTGTTCAGAAGTTAGAAAAAGCTTGTTTTATCTATAAAACATTTTTTCAGACCTCAATATATTTATCCAAAATTTTATTCATTTTATAGAGAATATAATTCTTTGAGTTAATCTTTAAACTTTTATCACTAGATACGTAGGTCGAAAATTCTGAATTAAAAAATAGCTTAGATTTTCATTCATTTTTGAAATTAATATTTGTGATCAGCGTATCAAACTACACCTAATGATTTATTTTTAATCATAATGTGATTAAAAGTATGTTCTGAAAATTTTAGTCGTATAGAAGATCGTTATATACACAAATATAGTGGATTATTTAGAAATTCAGTTCTATCAGGATTAATACAATTATAAATAAAATATGTGACTTCTTACTATTGTTTATTTCTGTTCTAGTTAAATGATCAG